TTGTGAAGTTTAAGATTCCTAAGACATGGTCAGAATTTTTAGAGCTGGAAAGTCCTCTTCCTTTGCATTTCCATAACCTCTGGCATGAGTTACTTCATAACATTTGACCGATATTAATTGCAATTGTATATGTCTTCATCATTAGACTATGAGTCATTTGCAGTTCCGAGGAGGGCTTCCCAGGTGGCCCAGTGGTAATGAATCTGCCTGCCAATGCAGGAGATGAAAGAGACGTGGGTTCAATCCCTGGGTCGGGAAGATCCCCTGGAGGAGGAAATAGCAATCCACTCCAGTGTTCTTGCCTAGAAGATTCCATGGACAGAGGAACCTGGCGGGCTACAGTCCCTGGGGTCACAAAGAGTCAGACATGACTGAGCACATGTAAGTCAAGTCCTTTGAAGTTAGTGACTGAGTCTTGTTCATCACCTTTTTAGCATCTAGATGGCACATGGTACAGAGAAGGAAGTTCAGTGAATTAAACCTTTCAAAGTAACACTTCTGTGTCCTCATTTTACAGATGGAGAAATTGAGGCTTAATGAGAGAAATAGCTTATGCTGAGTTCAACTAGAGAAGTAACAACAGGGTCAGGAATAAATCCCTGTTTATTTTGATTGCTTAACATTTTTGTGGCTGTTTTCTCATCCTGCCGGGCTTGGTTTGCTGGCTAATTAGCCAGAAGTTGGAAACATTCACTAGCAGTGAGCAAACCTCCATTGTCATGAAAACAAATGGCCATGCAAATGTAACCCTTAGCCCTGTATTAAGTACAAGATTTGTTTCTTAAGTCCCTTCACTTACTAATGCTAGGAGTCAACAATGCCTCCAGTGTAAGGCTTCATTCTCCTCTGAGAACACACGCAGACACACACACACGCACACACATGAACAGCACATAAGCACGTGGTAAAAGTTGAGCAGCTGAAAAGGATGTTTTGGATGAAATCTTGGCATTTATTGTTCCTGTGTGACCAGAGATAGTCAAGGTTGCCAGAATTCAGATGGACCTTAGTTCAAATCCCTACTCCTCCACGTATCTGTGAATGGGGAGAGGACACCCATCTCAAAGGGACATTTTGAGGATTAGGTGGAGGAACAGAGTCATTTCACTGCAAAGTCACTCTGTCGCCATGAATGAGCCAGCTAGCCTTTCTGGGTCACTGTATGTGCATCTGCAAAATGGATTCAATTAGATGGTTTACAGAGTCCCTGGAAGCTGGAACATTCTATGCTGCTTCTCCCTTGAGATCTCTTTGGATTTGGGATGAAGTGTTGCAAGCACTGGAGACATAAGGGAAGTGTGGACCTGAGCTGACGCATGCTGGCTCCTGCTGCCTTGCAGGGGCCCCCTGTCTGATGTAGGCCTTTTATCAGAGTGCGTTTGAGCTCTGTCCACGGTTTGCCTGGCCACCGCTGCAGTCCCCATTCTGTTCCCCGGGGTTTGGGAAAGAGCCAGTGGATGTGGAGATCCACAAGCAGGGTTTCTTCCCAAGAGCTGCTTGGATGGTGAAACTCACGAAGTCCGGAGAGAGTTCCTGTTTTGTTTTTCACAAGCCCCAGTGACTATTGATTACAAAAACCACACACACACACGCACCAAAACAAAAACACATACACAAAACAGGATGTTCTCTCCCCTCCCTCTGCTGGAGTCCAAGGCAGACTCTTACCATCTGTGTCACTTTCACCCATGGCTCTGGATTTCCCCATTATGATAATTAAGCCCTTAGCTCTAGCTGGAGATGTTACAGAATCATAAGCCGTGAGCAGTTTTACATGTTAATTCAAGTAAGGGAGAGACTGCGAATGGAGGGAGGAGGAAGTCTGACAGTCAGTGACCTCCTGCCAGCCCATCTGGTTTCTGCTCTCTCGAGAGCGCCCCCTCTGGTGCTGAAGGAAAACAGACATTTATTCCTAACATCCGTTGACTTGTAGTCAACTCGTTCAGTCGTGTCAGACTCTTTGTGACCCCATGGACTGTAGCCTGCCAGGCTCCTCTGCCCATGGAATTCTTCAGGCAAGAATACTGGAGTGGGTTGCCATTTACTTCTCCAAGAGGTCGTTCCGACACAAGGATGGAACCTGGGTCTCCTGCCTTAGCAGGCAGATTCTTTTCAGTCTGAGCCACTAGGAAAACCAACTTTAGGTAACGTAGTGATATCAAATCTTAGTAAGAACAATGTTATTATTGTGCGCCAGACTCTGACCCACATAACTTATATGCAACCATGAATGGAATATACTTAAAAAGTTGCTTATTGGGAATTTTGAGTTTAACTTGGCATCCTGTGTTTTTATTTACTGAGTCTGGCAAATCCTACTTGGAACCAACCCCACTGTCCCAAGTGGTTAAGTAGAAAAGACCTAAGATTCTGAGTCGCAGAGGTCTTTCTTTCTGCTTTCATCATTTGCCTGCTGTGCGATCTTGGGAATATTACTTCACTGCTCTGGTTCCTCCTCCTCACCTGTCAATGAAGATCACAGAACCTGTTTCTCAGGACTGTTGTGAGAATTCCAGTTTAATGCCCTTAAGGTATCTTATACTGTGTACTTAGGTGCTTCACAAACACTGTGTGTGCATGCTGAGTCATTTTAGTCGTGTTCGACCCTTTGCAACCCCGTGGACGTTAGCTTGTATCTTAGTTCTTTATTTCTTTGGGTGGCTGTTCTTAATGCGGGAGATGTTAGATCATTTCTTCATCCCTTAGGAGAGAATGTGAGTAAGGACATATGGCAGGAATCATTGAAGCCTTCTCATCAGAGGCATTGAGAGGAATGTGTTGGAGGCTTACACGGTAGTGTTCCTGATACACGTCTTCTCCTTCTAGGTCTGTGTTCTTTGCTAAGGAGACACACTCACTTTACATGAATGTGCTGTGCTTGAGTCTTTTGAACAATGCAAGATGGAAAAAGTCTCACCTGGGTGATCAAGTGTCCTTAGGTATTGTGAGGTTTTAAAAAGTACACAGAAAGTAAAAAATCATTAAAGAAAAGAAAAAGGAAGAAAGCATGTGGAACCTGTTACCTGGCAAAGAATAAAAGAGCAACACTCTCTGGAATTCCCAAGTTTGAAAAAGCGCTGTCAGACCTTCTGCATCCCCAGTGCCGTGAAACGGCAGTATAGACGCAGTGATTAAAGGGGAAAGCATGGAGCTCCCCAAGTGGCTCAGTAGTAAGGAATCCACCTGCCCGTGCAGGAAATGTGGGTTCCATTCCTGGGTTGGGAAGATCCCCTGGAGAAGGAAATGGCAACCCACTCCAGTATTCTCGCCTGGGAAATCCCATGGATGGAGGAGTCTGACAGGCCACAGGCCACGGGGTCTCAAAGAGTTGGACAGAACTTAGTATCTGAGCACACACGCAAAGCAGAAAGCACATCTGAGCCTAAGCGTTACGGTCGGTTTTTCAGTATCCATTTATTTATTCAATAAATCTTGACTGAATATGTGTTCTCAGTCTCATGAGAAGACTCTTGTGGATAAGGCGTGGCCTGTGTTCTTGGTGAGATCAGAGTCTGTTGGGTGAGACAGGCAAACGGATGTGTTGGCTAGCTGTGATGTAGCATGCTGAGGTGTCTGGAAGAGAAACCTGCTTCCAGGCTTAAAGTCAAGGGAGGGTTCCCTTAGGAAAGAAGGGTCCATTTGAAAACAAAAGAGCAAATTGGTTTCCAAGGTGGTGGTGGGGTTGAAAGTATTCCAGCAGAGAGGACAGGGTGTGTTTTTTTAAAAAAGAGCAAAGAGACAATGAAGCACATTGCAATTAAGTAGAACGTTGATCACCTTTCAGAGCAAGGTCAGCAAACAGTGATCTTCAGAGTGAATCAATCCTGTCAGCTGTCTTTGTAAATAAAGTTTTATTGGAACTCAAACATGCCCATTCATTTAAAGTATCATCTATGTTGCTTTCATGCTACAAAGGCAGAGTTAAGAAATTGTGGCAGAGACTGGCCATAAAGCCAGAAATACTTACTGTTTGGTCCTTTGCAGAAATGCTTTGCTATCTCCTGATTTAGGCACACTTTTCCTAGACAGGAATTCAGTGTTGATGGACATGGTAATGGTTGCATGCGTGTGGATGGTAGCATGCAAAGGAAAATCAGAGGAGAGGTGACAGATGAAACTACAGAGGTGGTCAGGAGCTAGAGTAAGGGATTTAGAGTTTATCCTGAGGGCTCTGGGGAGTCTCTGAAGGTTTATAAGTAGCATGGTAAGGTGGTCAGACTCCTACAACAAGCAGTGTGCTGAGGTGTTAAAGAGGGCAGGGTTTGGAGCCCGACTGCCTTGGATCAGATCCCATTTCCATCAGTTAAGAGCTCCCATCAGTTACCAGAACCTCAGACAAATGACAAGGCAGTGGCACCCCACTCCAGTGCTCTTGCCTGGAAAATCCCATGGACGGAGGAGCCTGGTGGGCTGCAGTCCATGGGGTCGCAAAGAGTCAGACACGACTGAGCGACTTGACTTTCACGTCTCACTTTCATGCATTGGAGAAGGAAATGGCAACCCACTCCAGTGTTCTTGCCTGGAGAATCCCAGGGATGGGGGGGCCTGGTGGGCTGCCGTCTATGGGGCTGCACAGAGTCGGATATAACTGAAGCGACTTAGCAGCAGTGGCAGGAGCAGACAAATGACTTACCTTCTGTGTGTCTCAGTTTTCCAGCTGGTAGAATGGGAAATAATAGTAGTTATTTTTTTAATTATAGCTATTGTGTGGGCTAGTGAAGGTGAAATAAGTCAACATAGGTAGAGTGTCAGGCCCAGGGGAGGATCTCAAGGGATGCTCTTACTGTTCTGCCTCAATGATCATTCTGGCTGTGGGTAGGGAATGATGCAACGTAGAAGAACCTGGTGGTAGAATGCTAGGAACTTAGGCAGAAGATGGTGCCCTGTGCCCCGGAGGACTGTTCTGAAGCTTGGGCCAGCTACCGTCGTGGCTTCTGGGACTTTGACTCTCTACTCCCCATCGTTGTCATCATCCTCTCTCTTGTTCTCCTTTGTTCCAGGCCTTCAGGAGTGCGCTGATGAGCTCCTACTGGTGCTCGGGGAAAGGGGATGTGATCGACGACTGGTGCAGGTGTGACCTCAGCGCCTTCGACGCCAGTGGGCTCCCCAACTGCAGCCCCCTCCCGCAGCCAGTGTACGTAAACATGGTCCCTCTCCCTCGGGCCACCCCCTTCCATGAGCTCACACGCCTGTCCTGCCAGCCCCGGCCATGGCTTGCTTCTCCTCCCGGGTGCTTCACCAGAGGCCCGAAGTCTCGGGGGCCTTCTTCCTCCCCTGCAAAAGCATGGCGCTTTGGCAGAACAAGACCGTGGCTCAAGGGTAGACGCTTGCATTGCAGCATGTGCTGTTTTAATAGCGCCAAGCCATCCATCATTGCTTCTTTGAATTCATCCATTCGGCAAAAGTTTGCTGGATGCCGACTACTGTTTTGTCAGGTCCTGTGTTGACCACTCAGGCTACTGAGATAAAGAAAGGGTAGGACCTTTTCTAAGGAGCTTTCTAGTATTCATTCGTTCAACAAATAAGCTCTG